CAACTCTGAGCTATTAGTTAAGTTCTCCCCAAGCGAGCTCGATGGGCCGAATGGCCTCCTCTCGTTTGTATAGTTCTTATGTTCTTATGTTCTTATACGTACAAATGGACATTTACTATTACAATTTACTAGGCTGACCAAACTTACCTTCAGTTTACAGGAAAACGATGGGTGAACTCACTATAGGGATTTAGGTAGTGAACTTGGCTGGAAGGCTGAAAAGCTGTGCGGTTGAATTGCACCAAAATGTCTGGCTTGTTGCCTCAGTCAATCAGAGTGGTGTTGAATGTTTGAATCTTTTGGTTGGTCCTTGACCTTCTGCTGTGGCCATCATTGCCTCTCTTAAACACCGACTGGGAATGGCTGTCATGGTATCACTTTTAAGGGTGGATATTGGCTATCATGAAATTATTTTCGGAACTCTAATTTCCCACAAATTGCGTTTCCTAATAAATAATCAGAGATATGGATAAAAGCATATATGCATAAATAAGTTGATTAATTGAAATAAATAAACCAGTTAAAGAAAAACAGGAACAAAAAATCCCCATACTGAATAAATCAATATGCTAAAACATAATAAATCATGTTTGTTTATAAATAATATGTATTCACATGTATTATGTTGATAACAACAATGTTGATATTTGTAAATAAAACTATATTTCCTGCACCTGTCATAGATGTCCACATGTCGTCCAAAAAAATTATGTTCAAATGTTGAATGTCATATTGACATACATGTTGGGTCATGGATGGATGTTCAAATTGTGGACCTAGTTTGGACGTTGTATAGATGTCCAGAATTGGTCATGGATTGACGGACCCAATATAGACATGATCTGCACGTCTATCCGACGTCCAGTGTTTAGTGGGTCTTAATGGTACTTTTAAAATTAATTGGATGATTAAATTCTTAAAGAACACAGATAACATATGGAACACTTTTCCTTGGTATTTATTCAGTAAAGTGGTATCTAATTCCAGCGGAAGTGTAATTACTCTCTGGACAGACTTCCTGTGAAACTGTCTAGTTTTCACAGGCATGGCTGGCATGGACTTTGGCCTATAAATATATTTTGCCTGCATAGATACTTCATATAGACCAATACAGACATTCAATTCAAGAATAAAAGTATACTTCTTCAGACTAGATATGAAAAAATAATTTTAGTTAAACAGAAATGGTACATTATTTTCTTATATTGATTTTCTGAATCCCTGTTGCTCCCAAGGAATATGCCATTGTGTTGGATGCCATTCCAAAAAGTGTCTTGCAGGTACTGAAACAGTCAGCTGTGGATGTAACCCAAAAGACAGATTGGAATAGGATTTTCATTGGAAATATAGATATCCTTCACAATGAAATTAATAACTAGCTAACATCATTGTTGAACACAGTGTTCCCCCAGCGATCTCATTTTGGTCATGTTAGTTTTATTCGTAATCGAAGTTCGGGCGGTTTCTATGTAAAGGTGCTAACTGTTGCAAATTCACAGTAATACCTTATACTTTATAAGTTAAAAGCGTATAGCTATCATGCAGGGCTTATTAGTTTCTATTTTCACAATGAGCATAATATGTATTATACAGTTTTCTTTTTGTTTAAGTATATACGTGAATTTTATTTCCATGCGGTAAGCAGGCCTCTGCGGCTCTTCAGAGGCACGGTGGGTGCTGTTGCGGGAGCGGGAGAAACTGCAGTTGACTGCGCATGTGTGCAGTCCCCATTCTGCTTTTATGGTGCAGGTAGAATAAAATAAAGTAACGAATCAATCCCTCTACGCCTGGTTCCTGGTTCCTAACATTCATGCAATTGAAAATGTGACACATCCATACCATAAACCTCTTTATACTCACTCAAAAATTCATGCAGCCCAGTAAAACCACTGCTTTAAAATACACATCCAAAATTAATTATTTTTTAAACAATACAATTCTTAACACACTGAAATTCATACATTTAATCAGAACCCGTAATGAATACAAATTCTTAAAAACATTTCCAAAACACTACAACTTGTAAAACTATTAAACCAGTTACGCTAAAAATTAATGCAAGTTCAAATTTGACATTCATACCATAACCCTCTTCAAACTGACTGAGAAATCCATGCAGTCTGGTAAAACCACTGTTTTAAAAGATAATTTTGTACCTTGGAGAGACATATTTCTCATCATGGAATGAAATGATATCTAAAGGTTTACAATACTCTATGTCACCTGGAACCTTGGCCATATTAAATACTTCAGTTGTCTCAACTTTGTAAGAAAAGAGATGCTCATCAAAATATTTCACTTTTAAAAGTCTCAGAAACATTAAGGAATAACCTCTTTCATGTTGAGGAAATATGTGTATGACTTCTCCAAATAAAGGTTCTCCGTTTTTGTCCATGTTTAATGGAAGGATACACCCTTTTCTATATGTAGTGCCAAACAAGATAACAGAGTTGGTCACATGAACTGAACTGTTTATAGACAAAGTTGTCAAAAAATGGTCAGATTTCAGTTGATCTAGCAACTTCTCACCCTTGAACAAAGAACCAATAATTACAGCAAATGAATTGGGTACAGTCATTTCACAGGTCTGCTCTGAGCTTAGTTTCCACTGGTACATTTGTTGAATCTGATATTTATGAGCCAAAGATTTTGAGATGTTTTTGAAGTTACATACCGTGTGTGCCTGCTGCTTCAAAGGGTGGTGCTTGGCCTCAAATCTCATGCACCACAATTTGGAAAGTGGGCCAAATAAAGTCATCATACTTGGGTAATGCACCATAAAGTGATGCTTGGGAATTAGATTTCTGTTAGGGTATATATTCTTGAATAGTGTATGATGATCTATAACAAGTTGCTTAAGAAAAACTGCAAGTGCCTTTGTTACAACAGGGGCAAAAATTATATCACAAATTTTTCTTAAGAGAAGGAATAATTGCCAGTGTGGACTGTCTGAATCAACTAAATCCCCCAACAAAAAAGGCAGCACACGTAGTAAACACCACATTTGTGATGCAGTTTGCTTAATTGCCTTTTCTGATGTCTTCAGATTAAGAATAACAGAAGGTTTATTCTTATCGTCCCCATAACCATATCCAAATCCAGCTATTCTTTCATTTAGATGTTCTAATGAAAGAAGGTTCTCCTCGTATATGAAATGTTGAAGCATTAGTCTGACCTCAAATGGTGCAACCCCTTCTAACACATCATGCATTATATCCACACATATATTCTCAGTGACATGAAAATACTTAAGATGGTTTAAGCATGAGTTTTGCTTAACACCCGTTGCACTTGGAACATTGATTTTTACGTGATGCATGTAATTCTCTCTGGTTCGTCTCTCAATCTGATTTTCGTCAAAAATATATTGTGAACTTGCTTTGTCTATCAAACAAAACTGACAAAACTTGTTGGCAGAAAAACTCTCAACATATCCACAAAGTGAGTGACAAGCAAGGTTATCTGCTGTTAACAGGCATACAGTTCCATAAATTATGTGACTTTCCTTATTCATTTCAACCTGAACACCACTACACTCAAGTTTCTTAATGTCTATTATTAATGGTTCCTTAATTCTCTTGAAACCATATGTGTCTCTGTCAACAGAATTAAACAGAAGACACAAATGAAGGTTAGAAAGTAATGAGTTAAACTCTGGTGACAGATTTCTAATTGCAAAATAAACTCCCCCATTTTGTGAATTTTTGTGTTCGATCCTAGAGGGTTTGTTGTTTCGAAATCATCGTAGTAGAGTTGAAGCTGTAATGCATCAGGGTACTTCTGATAAAGAGGGTGTCTAGCATAGTGAGTGCCATCGCAATAATCCTGCAGTTTACCAGATCTCACAGAGGACTGCATATAAATACTCTGCATTTTGTCACAACTAAACAGAAACTTGATGGTGTTAATTATTGAGATATATTGAAAAGTGTCTGCTACCAACACCTGTCTTATTTCTCCACTTTTTCTAAAAGTATCAGCTCTATGGCCAAGAATGTGGGCTTCTCAAATAAAAAATTTTCAGAAAAGTACTTTGTTAATTTAAATGGAGTATCAATTTCGTTAAACATATTTCTGGTGTTGTCAAAATCTTTCATTAGACCTTGAACTTCACTATTATCCAGGGGAACTGCTAAGCTGCTCAACAATGCATTAGTTTTTTCTTGTAAATTGTCTAATGCTTTATCCAGAACTTCTTTTGTACATGTTATACTTCTTTGTACATCTGTAAAAGTTACATTAGCAGAAGCATACATACGAGCAGCAAAACTGGCAGCACAATCCATTAAGCTCAAATTCTTGGGAGATTTTTGAGATGTTTCTGTTGTTTGATCCTCATCTCCCAAGATAAATTCTTCAATATGACTAGACAAATGAAGGCCTACATACTGTGCTGATTCTTTTGATGAACATGGTTTAGTTACAGTGTGAGCTCTACTAAGGTGTTTTGAACATGAATTTAAACTGTGGTAAGTCCTGGGACAACCATCTTGACTACAGGTAATATTTAGATTTTGAAAGTGCATGGACTTCACACAAATGCCATATCAACTTTCTAATTTCCAAAGAAACCTTTTGGGAACACTGGGGACATGTATACATGCTTTTACTAATTTAGGCCAGAGATTGTATTTTGGCAATTAACTCCATAACTTTGGATCGCCTACTAGAGTTCGCAGACAAAGGCAGATCATAAACATACTCAAAAAAAGAAAAAACTGATGCTAGTTGACAGGGATACTTAAGGTTGCACATCCAGTAAAATTTGAACAGTTTGTCCACAGCACAAGACAGGTTTTCAATATCTAGTGGAACAACAACACAGTCATTCTTTGCCTCAATTACATACTGAGCTCCTTGTCTTAGTGGTCCAATGCAAACTAGCTGCGGCTGAACTGATTTCAGTTTTCAGTGGATCCACTCCTCAGAGTTGCTAGGTTGGTAGTAGTCTAAAAGAATAACACAGAATGAAATAATGTTACTTCTCTATCAGAGGTAGCAATATTGTACATATATCACAAAAAAACATGTTTTGCCTACAAAACCCTAGCATACCTCAATGTATAGGATTGGTGGTCCCATGTTAAATGCAAAAAAAGGAAGTCTTTTCACTATTGTTAAACATTTTTCACAAAGGAGAACGGAACCATAACATACCGGCACAAACTCCACCAAGTAAGAGACAGCCGAATTCACAGAGCATTTCTCCCAGAGAAATTTCCTGCCGCATTTCTCCCAGATGCCGTTGGTGGTAGAAGATGAGTTAGGATCTTCAACATTGTGTAGCACAGCTCATCTTGGAGAAAAAATATAAATTCAGCAAATTATAAAATGACAGAAATGATTTTAAAACCAGAAATTAGCATTCAAGACTAAATTACAAACGATCTAGTTATAACTTGCCTATATTTTGGTATTTGTATAAATTTGTGTTTCAAAATCCTGTTCTGAGTACATTTACAGCATTTGGAAGACGTTCATGCCCAGAGCAACTTATACAAAAACATTGTAGATATACTTTTGATCATTACTTGTGCTTCCTCAGAATTGAACAAATGACCTTGGTGTTTCTAGCGCCATGCTCTATAAGCCAAGCAACAGAAACACACCACCGTCATGCATAATAATCTTACTGGTCCAAAAATAAAAAATGTCAAAAGTATTGTGTTTTGTTTGGTTACTTACAGTTAAGGTTAGGGCTGGATAGGGGTTAAAGCTGTCATTGCTGGGATTAGGGTTTTTCTGCATGGAAATGAATGTACGATCCCCACAAACCTCATATATATATAAATATACTGTATATATGTGTGTGTGTGTGTGTGTGTGTGTGTGTGTGTGTAAAGGAAATTAAGTCTAAAATAAGTAGGGCAGTGGTACTACAGATGCAGGACTAAGAAACACACGTCACATTTGTTTAGATTAAGTAATATAAAATCCAAATTCCTATATATACACAGACACACACATATCATCACATTGATTTTTGGCCTCATTTAAGAGATGTCTGATGTCATGTGTCTTCTCAAAGGAGGCAATTTCTTTAAGTTTCGGAATAATGGTCCCTTCCCATCGCCTGATGAACAAGTCTTCTTTCCCATCAGTAATTTTGGAAAACTCAGAATCAACCTTGAGTAAAAACAATCAATAACCAAATAAATACAGTAATACACAAACTCTGTGTAAACATTTGCCTAAAGTTAACTGCCAATGACAATTCATTGCAAAATTAATTGAATTCTTGATTTCTTGAAATGTCTTGAATATTAAATGGCCTTATCTTTAAGAAAAGGAAACATTTACTTTGATATTGAACCACTATTGAGCTTGCTTACCTATAGATTAAACAAAGACTTACCATTGT